TGATCAGATTCCAATTTGAAATTTGTGTCCAGTTCTGAAAACCAACAATTTAAAGAGAGTTCATATAAACTGGAACTGGTTGAGAAGATGGCTAGGATAATAGGAATCTGGAAAATAAGTCCTGTGAAGAGAAATTGAAGGACTCAGCATGTTTAGTCTTCAGTAGCATAGATTAATGAACAGAATTCATTAAAATATTTGGAAGGATGTTCTAGGAAAAAGGTAAAACGTGTTTTCTACTGTTACAAAATGGAAAATATAGATGAAATATTCATTTTAGCAGATTTTAACGGAAAATTAAAATTATTTTGGATGATATCTGAACCATTGTTAATATGAATGTGCAAAGAGAACATAGTTTAAAGATAAAATATGTTGAAGAATATACTGAAAACTTGGAATGTATCAGGGAAGAACTTTATACTTGAAGTATAGCCAAACAGATGGTTTTATTTTCTTGGAAAGAAAATCCTGATTTACAATTGTAGACTGAAGATTTGCAGTTGCTTTGAATTGGCTCGCTGTCAACAAACTTTTGTATGGGTAAGTTTTAAGTCATTGTTTAAAAGAAGGATCACCACTTTCAACCCTTCAAATTAGACCAGTCAGGAAACAGACTGCAGGAATGACTATTACTATGGCTATAATAACAGAATCTTGAAGTCTGCTAGGGCTTCCAACTGTCCTCTTAAACCAAACAGAATCAAGGGGAGAGTATGTTGGGTCTCTTTCTCATGCCCCTTCTTTTTCCAGACCTGAGTGGTCATTTACTCTCCCTCAGCAGCTTATCTAACAATTCTTGCATACTTTTATGAATTCCCCTACACCAGTATGTATAATATGTATACAGGTAGTCCTCAACTTACAACAGTTCATTTAGTGACTATTCAAAGTTACCACGTCACTGAAAAAAGTGACTTATGACTATTTTTCACATTTACGACCATTGCAGCATCCCCATGGTCACATGATCAAAATTTGGACACTTGGCAACTGACTCATATTTATGATGGTTGCAGTGTCCCAGGATCTCATGATGCCCTTTTGCAACTTTTTAACATGCAAAGTGAATTGGGAAGCCAGATTCATGTAATAACTGTGTTACTAGCTTAACAACTGCAGTGATTCATTTAACAACTGTGGCAAGAAAAGTTGTAAAATGGGGCAAAACTCACTTAACAAATATTTCACTTAGTAACAGAAATTTTGGGCTCAATTGTGGTCGTAAGTCGAGGACTACCTGTAGTTTGTTTGACTATACGTGTGTGTTTATTTTGGCTTTTTAAAACTTTTGTTCTGTGCACCAATGCAATGCCTGTGCATTGTTTTCATTTGTTTTCATTTGTTTCTGGTCATTTCTATATTATATTTGTATATAAAAATAGATTTCCACACAGTAGGAATAGTTTGTCAGAGGAAACCTATAGAATCTACAGAAGTGATAAATACCTTTGCTGATTTCTGCACTAAATTGGAAATTGGATTCAAAGCAGCTTAAAAGCTCTTCCACATGTATGATCCTATTATCACTGTCACAACCATGGCAGTTGAAGAACAACAAAAACAAACTAGAGATTTTTTTTTTGCAGTGTATGTGGAAAAAATTAACTGTTCCCTAATGGAGGAATGGGTAAATGAAACATCTCCTTTCATCACTGTAAAATCCACATACTCATCCTGAATTTGTGTATGCTAAATAAGGAGACTGGCAAACTGATTTAGCTCCTAGACCTGCATCTAGGCAACTACATCTGTGCATTTAATATATCATGAGTTTATTTCCCCTGATCCCCATCCTGTTAATGTCAAAGACACATTTTAAGATGCTTCTCGGTTGAAAGGATTAGCCGATGACATCGCCATTGCCTGGGGACACCTGTGGAGGCTCCTTTCCTGTGCCTATCAAGGAACTGGAGCAAATGACAGGAGCTCACCCTGCCATACAGCAGCACTCTGGTCTCAAACACGGACTTGCTAACCTCCAATCCTGCGTCCTAATTACATGAGCATCACTCTTCACTTTTCTTGGTTAAGTGGATATATAGTCAATTAAATAAATTTAGCCAGGTCTTTAACTGGTGAGTGAATGAAGGAATGTATGTATATACATAAATAATATAATTTCTACTACATTAGTTATTATAATTAGTTAAAAGGTCAGCTTGCTGCAATAGGCAAAATGAATCTGGAGGGATTTGGAAAAGAGGCCCAGAAGCTTCTTTTTCTCTAATAAATATAGAGCTTCCCTTTGTTAAATAATGGCTGGAGAATTTTATACTTGCTACCAAGTCATTACAGAAAAGGATGGACATTATTATATTCAGGAACATTAACAGATTACTTAAACTAAAGGCAAGTAAACTGTAATTCTAATGAAAAACTTCCCTTTTACATTCTTAAAAATGACTGATGATTCCAAAGAAATTTGGTTCATTTGGATCAAATCTTTCAATATGGATTTATAATATTGTACGGTATTAGAAATTAAAACTGAGAAATTTTAAAATACTTGTTTATTTAACTTTGCAAACTTTCCCCCTAGACCACACTGAGAGCCACTGATTAAGTAGTACTGTCTATGGAATAAGTCTATCTGGACCATGGATATATTTGATGTATTTTTTAAAAATCAATTAATTTTAAATTTAATATTTATTAAGGAACAAGACCAATCACCTGACACACCCTCCCATACATCAAAAACATTTCAGAAGTTTTAGAATGCAGCTTCCAAGATCTGCAAGTGGGCATCACACACTGCCCAGAGGCTACCATACCAGGACCAATTATGTACTGTAAAGATCGACTGGAGGTGAGAGATACTTCCAAATGTAATCTACTGGATTCCCTGCATGGATTGTCCCTGTAACTATGTAGGACAGATGGGGAGGAAGCTAACCACCAGATTGCAAGAATTCAAGCGAGCGATCAGATGAGGAGACCTGAAAGTTGGTACCTCACACTGCAATGAACAAGGACACATATTCAATTTTGCAGTTACTAAGATTGTTGGACAGGCAAGTGCAAAAACAGCCAGGAAGTGATTAAAGCCTTGGAAACAGGCTCCTCATCAATTTACAAGAGTGCCGATTTACCACCAGCCTATCAAGAACTTAGAAGGCGAGGGCTGGGCAACTCAAGCAAATGACAGCTAATCACTTAAAAGCCAGCCATCAACATACCCCAATCAACATCTTAAAAAGCCATATACAACAGGCTATAAATACTACACATTGAACAGCACACCATACACTCTTCTAGAAAGAAGTTGCCTGAAGATGGGCTCCAGCACAAGTCCAAAAGCTCAGTGACCGACCCAGATTGGATCCTGCAACATTATCCTGGGACATGTATATATTCACTTTCATCTGTGAATACTTATTAAATGTAATTTCCTAATTTAAAAATTTATTCAGAAAAATGGAAATGTTTTCCCACAAAAAGTGATTACACAAATAACTACCGGTATGCCATTTTGCAATTTGGGGAAGGGCAAACATTCCAATTATTTTAGTTGATTTCAAGAATTAATCAAATAGTTATAATCACTGCAAATAAAATCAACAAAATTTAGCATAGAAGTGACCCAATCTTACTGAAATTAAATTTTGAAACAAAACAAAGCCCACAGCTACAGTTGGAAACAGCATGCCTAGAACTTGAAGAAGAGGAAAAACATGCCAACTTATAAATTTCTCCAAGGGAAGGTTTATAATGGAAATGGCAGCAAACTCTTAACTACAGTGGTGCCTTTTTATGCCAACATATAAATAATTTTTACTTTTATAGTCACGTCATAAATTAGATTTAGCACAAGTAGAAACAGTAGAGTGCTGATTCAGTAAATAGAAAGACCAGGAGCACATGTTTCCATTTTTAAAAGACAGGCACTGACTTGATGGTGACTCTGAAATGAAGTCTGTAAACAGTTTTGAGCTCTTTTTTTAAAGTACTGTACTGTAGGCAAGTCATAAGTTTTTGAAGCTTATAAAAATAAGCAGCCTTTGCAAGTTATAATGCATGTTCAAATCTTCTAAGAATCATTTAGGTAGGTTAGCAAAAATGGCTCCATTCAACCCATTGTGGAAAAAAAATTACACACAAATCTACCCACTTACAATCTCTCCGCATTCCAAGAGGAATGTTTTAGTTTTGATTTTAGCAAGTGTTGCAAATGCCACTTGAGTAACAAAGTTTTTACAAAGAAACATATGTGCTCAAAGATTACTTTCTTTATTCTAAATTTACACTTAGAACACAATACATGCCAGATTCTCTTTTCACAGAGTTGTAGTAAGAAGACAACTGAATCTAGGCAGGGCTTCAAATTACCTATACATCCATATATTTGCTGCTTACTTAAAAGTACCTAATGGAACGTACTGATCATTTAATCTTTATTAAATGTTTTTCAATCTTGGTAATCTTGTGTGGACTTCATGGCTGGCTGGGGAATTCTGGGAACTGAAGTCCACACATCTTGAAGTTGCCAAGGTTAAGAAACACTGCCTCAATCAAAATAGATCAAGTACAGTATGTGGATAAGGTGCTTCTTAAAAAATTGAAACAAAAATACTGATGACTCTTCTTAAAATATCACTCAATTTATGGAGGTGTCTGTCATAACTTTGAGTGGTAGCTAAGTAGCCAATTGTAAGTCTAGGAGTATCTGTAGTTTCTGTCCCTTGGGTAAAATATAATAGTAACACAATAATATATAAAAAGTATCTTTTTTAAAAATTAGAGGTAGTGGTCATAACATTGATTCATTCAAGCGCCATCACAACTTTGAACACTGAACAAATGATTATAACACAAGGACTACCTTGTGAATTCATATGAATTTGTAGGTGGACTTTAAAAAAGGTTTTAGGACTGGAAAGATAAAACATAATTTTTTCATATTCAGCAAACTGTACACCTCATCACAAAGAACAGGTCTGACCAAACTAGTGTGCAATTAGCCAAAGGATGCAACTGAAAAAAGATAAAAGACTTACCACCAGAAACAGGGGCATCCATAAAAACAGCTCCCATTTTTTCAGCTTCTTTGGCTAGCTCTTTTGAAACTTCGGGATCAATAGTACTGGAATCTATTAATAAAGAACCTTTCTTCACTTTCCTGAAGTAAATGAAGACAAAAAACAAAAACAAAACCCACAAGTAGGTAAAATGCAGAGAATTAACATTACCTCTTTGATGTTACTACAATTTGCTCATAGAGTTTAACTCCAGAAGAAGTCACAATATTCAAGCCAACTTGTAAAACTTCTCATGAGTAAGATTTTTGATATTGATTTCATAAATTCACAATAAATCATCTGTAGCTCACAAAAAGATATATTTCTTAAGTTATTTTTATAATCACTGATCATTTTCTTTCAGCAGAAGTGGGAGAGGGCTATATTGCCAGGGACAAAAATACTGGAACTCAACAAATGATTACTCAACTACACAGCTTCATAGAATTTTTATTTATCTATATAAAAAATACATTATTAACAATATGGGAAAAAATAAAATCTAAAATATATTTGAAAATTCCAGGATGGTTGTCAAATGGAAGCATTTGTACCCCCAAATTTGGTGAACCTTGAAAAAATCTGGAAATATAGAGAAATTCTAAACTCTGAAAGGAATTTAAAATCTAAACAAGAAATGGAAAATCAGGGTATCAATCTATCATGGTGGGCACATTTACAAATACAAGCTAGATATGATAAAGATGTTAAACTGTATGGATTTTATAAGGAACAAACTATGTTTGATAAGACATTGTTAACTTCTGTTGAGAAACTATTTAAGAAAATGTATAATTTTCTATTAACTTTGACAATGGAAAGCGAACAAGTTAAAGAAACAATGATAAGATGGGTGAAAAATTTTGGATATAATATAGAATTAGAAAAATGGCAACATTTATGGGAAAGAAATTACAAACTGACAATGTCAACTTCCTACAAAGAAAATTTATATAAAATGTTCTATAGATGGCACTTGCCACCAGCAAGACTAGCAAAAATGTTTAAAAACATGTCAGATAGATGTTGGAAATGTAAACATAAGTCAGGCACTTATTATCATGTTTGGTGGACATGTGACAAAGTAAAGCGTTATTGGAAAAAGATACATATCTGGCTAGAAAAGATGTTGGGAGAACATGTAGATTTTAAACCTGAACTTTTTTTATTAGGTATAATGCCAGAAAAGACTAACAAACAAATCTTATATTTGATTTTGCATGTCACAACAGCGACAAGAATTATATTTGCACAATTCTGGAAAAATGAACAAATACCATTAGATGAAGAAGTAATTAAACAAATATTAGAATGCGCAGAGATTGACTATGAGACTGAAAGAAGAAATGGAATATTATTAAATTTGGGACTTATTTTATCGATGGTTAGAGGAAAGAATAAAGAATTAGGAATTAAATATGTATTAGTGAATGTAAACTCAGACAGCATGTTTGTTGAAAAATTATTACTGAATGTATGGGGAAAAAACAATAAAAACTTTTACAAAAAAAAGAATTTATTTATATATCACCCATCTCTGATGAAAAATTCTGGATAGCCAGTTTCAGCCAGTTTCTCTCTCAGCCCGAATTTTCTCACAAAATTGTTATAATGTAGATATAGGTTGTCTTCAAATTATTAAAATTGAGCCCAAAACTTTTGTTACAACTTTTCTTGCCACAGTTGTTAAAAGAATCACTGCAGTGGGTGAATTAGTAACATGGTTGTTAAGTGAATCTGGTTTCTTCATTTACTTTGCTTGTCAGAATGTTGGAAAAGGTGATCACATGACCCTGAGACCCTGCAACTATCATAAATATGAACCAGTTGCCAGGCATCTACATTTTGATCACATGACCATGGGGATGGTACAACAGTTGTAGGTGTGAAAAACAGTCATAAGCCACTTTTTTGAGTGCCTCTGTAACTTCGAACAGTCACTAAACAAATGGCTGTAAGTTGAGGGCTACCTGTAATATTAAGTATGACCTCTACATATGAACTCTCAGAGAAAAGTAGGATATAAATGTAATAAGAAACAAGACAACACTTCTAGATAATGCTAACTAAAATCCTAAGAGTCCTAATCAGCATAATCATTAATAAGGTATGCTGGGACTTGCAAGACATCAAGTTGCTCTAGAAAACTGTAATGATAATTAACTGTGTGCAATGAAACATGCACTCTTCTCTATTATGATGGCTGGTTACAAACACAATAATGTATTTGCCTAGAGAAATTGCATGCATTTAATAGCATTCAATAAAAATACAAGCAGAATATTAATATAAAGAAAAAAGGAGGAATCTTACTTGAGAATTCCATTGGTACCTATGTAAACTTCTATTGCATTAGGATTTGATGGAAGCATTGTAATAATCCTATCTGCTTTATCTGCTACATCTGCTGGAGAATCAGTCACCTTTTAAAAAAAAAAAGAAAAGAAGGTTTTTGAAGAGAGATTTCAAAAGAAAAACTAGTGATTCAGAACAAAGAGCTATGAAAATGCAAAAAAGGAAACTGAAATACAGTTGGATAGTTACAGTTAAGTTTCACATAAGGTACATGACAAAACAACATTGACATAGATTGAGTTTCACATGAAAAGCTTCCCAAAAGAAGAAAAATTATCTAAAAGCTTATTTAAAAAGGAGCCGTAGTAAAAAAAAACAAAAAAAACATGTTTTAGGACTACTAGTTTAGAATTAATTTGTCATCAAGATTATGCTTTTTAATTCTAAAACTAACTGGACCCCTTTCCAGTCAGGTTTAAGGTCTGATTATGGGACAGAAACAGCATTGGTTGCACCTATTAATGATCTCTGGTAAGAGTAGAATGGGGGTAATGCACCCATCCTTGCTGTCCTTGACCTCTCGGCTTTCAATACCATCAACCATGGTATCCTTATTGGATTGCCTGCACAATTCGGGGCTGAGTGGTGCAGTCTTGCACTGGTTCCTGTTGGTATTTGTAGAAACTAAAGATCCAATCTATGGCTGGATCCTTTGTGGTGTACTGCAGGGTTCTGTACTCTCTCTGCTTGTTTTCACCATGAAGCTGCTGGATAAGATCATCCAATACTATGGGATGAAGTATCATGATTATCAACTTTATATCTCTAACCCTGGCAACCCAAGCATTGCTGCTGATGTAGTGTCATGGTGCCTGGAGGCTGTGGAGTCCTGAGTAAGGGGCAAAAGATTTCAGCTAAACCCTCATAAGACAGTGGCTATGTGAGTCTCAGAATCTAAGAGCTTAACATCTTTAGTTCTGGATGGGTTGCATTGCCCCAGACGGACCCAGTTTGCAACTCTGGGAGCTCTCCTAGATTCATTTCTACTTGAAGAGCAGGTAGCAATCATGGCTAGATGAGCATTTGTGCAACTTTGTGTCCTACATCATGAAATCATGTGCTTAGTCACTCATGCCCTGGTCATCTTGTGTTTGGACTACTGCAATGAGCTCTGTATCAGAACCCCCTTGAAGAGTATTCAGAAGTTACAGCTGACACAGAATGCAGTTGTGCAGCCAGTTCTAAGGCGTTTAATGTTGGTTATTACCTTTAAGGCCCTTTATGATCCAGGTTACCTGAGGAACCCCCCCCCCCACAGAAATTGGTCCACATCACTGCTTCAATAGAAGGGGCATACTACAGGCCCTGCCAGCTAAGGAAATTTGTTTGGTGGGTGCAGTTTCTGCCATGGTTCCTGCCCTTTGGAACATCGTGCTCCTCAAGGTGAAATCTGCCTCTTCCCTCCTGGCCGCCTGAAAGAGCCTGAAAACATGACTTTGCCTATTGGGTTGGGGATGTCCCACACGGGAAAAGATTAGTAGACAAGAAGACCTTACCTCCACCCTCTTTATACATTTGTTCCTATTTTAATCAAAGTTTTGTTAACTTGCAATGTTCAATGTTTTAACATTTTAATTTTTTATATTGCTATTTTTATCATATTGTAAGCTGCCCAGTTTTGCTCAACAGTGAGAGGGGGGTATAAATGTAAGTATAAATAAATAATACTCTGATATACATCCATGCAAAGGATCTATTTCAAGGAACCTGTAGCAAGATTTTATCAAGCTAGGTTTGTGTTGTGTTTTCTTATGGCATTTAAAGCAAGACACAAGGATGTATATTATCTTCAATTAAAGGTAAGAATGAGTAGAACTGGAACAGACTTGTAGATTTTTCATTGTTACTCCTATTAATTTATGACCATTCATTTAAAGATGATTCAAAGTAATGGTGGCCTTGGAAAAAGTGACTTATGGATCATTCTGTTACCACTGTCATGCCATCCCACTATGGTCAAGTGACCTGGCACTAGCTCACATTTACAATGGTTGCACATCTTGTGGTCATACGACAAAGTCAATTGGGAAATGGATTTGCTTAACCATGTGATTCACGTAACAACCACATGGCTCACCAAAAAATCAGTGATTCACTTAACAACATGGTAAATGGTCATAAATCACATGATTTACTTAATGACTGTTATTACTTAGTGACCAAAACTCTAGTGCCAATTGTGGTAGTAAGCAAAGGACTACCTATATCATAATACTTTACATTATTGTGTCTTTATAGCTAGCATATTTATAGTCTTTATTCCATATTTTCATTCCAGTACATACACAAAACAATTTCAAATAAGGCTCAGTATAATTCATGTGGATTAAATATTTATAGTTTATCAGCTTAAGTGTGGGGAATCTCTAGCCTCCAAATTATTCTGAAATGGGAAGTTCACAGTAACTGTCATATAAACCTAAAATAAAATTAAAGCAATTTCAGAAATAAATATTTTCCCTACACAGAAACCATACACCAATGTTTCCTTCTATTATTTAATGCAGTTCTGTAAGTTGTAGTTTCATACCATTCTACTGTTTGTAAATATTCATCTGGTGGCCGGCTCCTTATGACTACAGAAAAAAATGGTGCCAAATAAGGGATAAGATCAAAGGTCACCAAGGCACATAAAGCTTTCAATTCTATTAGTGTTTCATTTTGCTTTTGTCAATATGCTGATTTTAAAAAACAGGAATGTTGATCATGATAAGGGAATTAAAAAATTTCACAATCATATTTTTTTCAAATTTCACAGTCACTTTTTAAAAATAAAATAGCAATAAAATGTTATTATACCTGAGTACCCAGCTCTTGAAATTCCTTACATGCTTCTGGAAATATATCACATGCGATAATGGGGTAACCATGTTTCACAAGATTTTTTGCCATTGGATTTCCCATGTTTCCCAAACCAATAAATCCAACTGGAGTTTTGGAAGCCATTGCCCTATAAGACACTAATTGATATGCAAATGTTTCAGTGAAAAAAGTTTTGTAATCTTACATCAAGCAGAATGCTAACTTCTTAATGTTCTTTTCTGCTAATTGCATATCTTAGTTATACTAAAAGCAGCTTATACTTTAAGACAGGTAAGAAAATTGGCAACAGCAGAAAAATCACTGTTCATTTTATTAATATATTGTAAAAATGAGGCATCAACACTGAATTTTAGTGTGCTACTCAAATGACTGCTTGGTATCTCTAACTATCTACATCAGATTCCCACATCAAAAATAATATAACTACACAATGATTTTAGATTCTGTTAAAAATGCTTCAGACAATCATGGGAACCAATCTAACATATATATCTCCATGTTCTAAAGTAGCTGTGTATTCTTCTAGGATTACTCAGAACTCCAAAGCACCAGTTTTAATTGAATCCAAAGCATCCCATGGCTATAACAGATTATAGAAAGGAGCTGACACAAAGTCTGATGCAAGTTTGAATGGAATACTATACTGATAAAATTTTATGAGTGAAATTTTGTCCTATTTTGTGCTTGAAATAGTTATAGCAAAGTAAGTGCTAAGCTTTTACACTTTGGTCTTTGCTTTTTTAAAATTATCAAAAACTGCATTACCAAAAGTCACCATTTTCCTGCTGCAACTTTCAAAGCTGCAAAAATCAGTTGGTGAAAATCCTAAGCTGTTTTTGAAGTGCCTTACCTTTATGAATTCAAAATCAGCTTAGAATCAAGCATTCCTTTTACATCGGAATAGATTTTTAAAAAATAAAAATAATCACAAAAGGAATAATTTATTTAAGCTATTGCTTCTTCATTTTAATGGCAGTTAGTTTGGTCTTGTGGTTAGACCAAAGGCTAGAATCTGGGAGACCATGAGTTTAAGTCTGGGCTTAGCCATGAAAGCCAGCTGAGTGGCATTAGGCCAGTCGGTCTCTGACAGCCCAACTCAACTCACAGGGTTGTTATTGTGGGGAAACTAGGAGGAAGGAGTACTATATATGTTAGCCACCTTGAGTTGTTTATAAAAATAATAAAGATGGTATATAATTAGATTATGGTAAATGAATAACAAGATAATCTAAAGGGTCACTGTCTATTTTGGTTTCACAAAATTTCAGATTTACCCATTATTTTTGCTTACAAAGCAAGGAGCATACAGTATACTCAAAGGAAATTTAGAAAATTAACTTTCTTAAAAAGGAAAGTTAATAAAGAAGATTCAGTTTCCTTCTTTTCCTGTCTACAGATTCAGCCAGCTGCCAACAGCTGTAATTCAAAGCAGTAACAGCTCTCTACCAGAAATTAGGATGATCACATGGCAAATTTACTGGATCTAAAGATGATTTTTAGGGAACATAATGAAAAGTCCTTGCTATAATGTGATTTGATCCCTTTGTCTAATTGTCTGAAAATTATCCTGTGGTATTTACTTGACTATTTAAGCAGACATTCATGAGAAAAGACACTTGGATGTGAATAAAAGAAGAAACCTAACATAATCCCATCTGTACTTTGGGGTGTGTGTGTGTGTGTGTGTGTGTGTCTATATTTATATATGTACATATCTATTTATATTTATATCTACATTTATATGCCTTGTCTCTATATCTATATCTACATCTACATCTTTATGCCTTGTCTCAACAATCAACTATTCCCTTAGCACATTATAGGACACACAGAAAAGGAATATAAAATAGTAAGGAAAAGATTAAAGATATGAGATACTGTAATAAAGAGTTTATTACATTAGTTTATACTAACTATTATATTTCATCATATTATATATATATCCTCTCACTCTCTCCTAGTTCCATCATATCCATATATTGTCTTTTATGTTACAACCTTGTTTACCATGGTTGTTAATATAATAAATATAAATTGGCAACTAATATGTATTTATTACAGTTGAAGCATCCCAGCAAATCACTGTAGTTGCTAAATGAATCATGCAGCCATTAAGCAAATCCAGTTTCCTTTATTGGTTTTGCTTGTTGGAAAGCCAGATGGAAGTCACAAATGGTGATCTTATGACCTCAGGACACTGCAACCGCCCATAAATACATGCCCCAGTGCCCACATTTTGATCATGTGACCATAGGATTCGGCAATGGTTATTAAATGCAAAGACTGATTGTAAGTCATTTTTTTTCAGTGCTGCTGTAATTTCAAACAGTTGCTATACCAAGTTGAAAGTCAAAGGGCTACCTATATACATCTGGTCTGCAGAATCACACTACTTTCATCCTTAGATTCACACCCAATGTATCTGTTTCTGTTTTATTCATTCATTTGTCTGTATAAAATAATTGAAAAAAAGAAATTTGCAACCAGTCCTCACACTTATGGCCAGAGCAGCATCCCCATGTTTGGCTACCAATATGTATTTATTACAGTTTTAGCATCCCAGAGTCATGTGATTGCCATTTGTGATCTTCCCAGCCAACTTCCAACAACCAAAGCCCATGGCAGAAGCCAGATTCTCTTAGTGACCACATGATTCACTTCATAACTATGGCAAAAAGGATGGTAAAATTGGCTGTGATTCACTTATCACCTTGCTTAACAATGGAAATTCTCATGTCAAGAACTACCTGTAAAAAAGATCCATCCTAATACTGCATATGAAAAAAGAGTTAATTTGGTTCTGTTGTGCAACAACAATATGCTTTTCTAGATGGATACCAGAGATCTTGGACAGTTTTCACTGCTATTTTTTCTGACAAATATAATAAATATTTTAAAAGATGAATAATACTAGGAACCAGAATCAATAAAGTTTACTGAAAAGATATTTACTTTACTATTCATGCTCAGCAGCTAATCTAAATAAAAATACTGTAGACATGGTAGCGACAAAGCATCTAGAAAATATTCCTCAACAAATTGGTTGCATCTGATGTTTTTATAGAAACTATGATTTTAAGTTTTTTGTCAACATAGATAAATCTGCTTTCCACGTAGGATTGTTAATGCCATAAGTAATGCAAATAAAAAAGCATCATCATGATAAATTAGGCCACTGAAATGAAAAATTCTTTATATAAACTCAGAGTGCTTTGAGGATAAAAGAGTGTTCGTTCAGTTCTGACATTAAAATAAATACGAATGAATCCATACTCAGAGGTACCATCCTGTTCATTTGCTACTTCTAAGTTTGGTATCTAAGATACCATTTTTAATGGGGCCAAATGGTAGATCTTACAATGATAGGGGGAGTGGAGAAATCAAATAGATCCTTTAAGTCTGCAGTCTGGTTGCAATTCAGAAACATATACACTATGAATAAAGATCAGTCTGCATGAGTGGGTATACTTGTACTAATTTACCCAATAGATGATTTGAGTTATTAAACAGCAGCTGTACTGTGCAATGTCTCAGTTTCCAAGGTCTGAGTTTCTAGTAACAGAAAATAGACATGCAACAACTTTCTCAGTAAAAAGAAAAAAAAATCTAGCAACAGATTCAAAAGATGAACCATCTTTTTAAACAAATGGAAAAATATGAATTGCTTTCTATAAAAAGGAAAAAATGTTAGTACAATTTTCATTGCATAATAGTACAACAAAAAGTCAATATGCTTAATGACAATTAAGTATTAAGCCAATTATTATATTGGCTTATATTAACATTAAGGAAATAACATATTAATTATAGTTGTTCAGTCGCTTGGTTAGGGAGATGAATGACACATAAATTGAATAAATGAATATATTAAGCAGAATATTTAATATTCTATTTATATCTGTAAGCTAGTTTGATCTAGTACACGGGGTAGGCAACCTTGGCTCTTTTGTGACTCGTGGACTTCAACTCCCAGAATTCCTGAGCCAGCATTGCTGGCTCAGGAATTTTGGAAGTTGAAGTCCACGAGTCATAAAAGAGCCAAGGTTGCCTACCCCTGGCTCTAGTGCTTAAGGCACCAGACTAGAAAGCAGGTGACCATAAGTTCAATTCTAACCTTAGCCATGAAAACTAACTGGGTGACCAGTCACTGTCTTAGCCCAACTCACTTCACAGGATTATTGTGGGAAAAATATCAGGTGCATTAGATATGTTCGCCATTTGAGGTTATTTGTGAAAATAATAAAGATGGGATATAAATAAATAAGAATAGCATTTTCAATAATTTTCAAACAAGAAAATTGATTAGTTTATTGCTATATATGGAAATAATGTATTATAGCAATAGTTTTTTATCTTGAGGGTCTGATAAAGTACCTTCAAAACTGGACTTCCGGTGGTTTAGTGTCGGTGATGGCGGCTACTTTGTAGCCGTCCTCCTGAGAAAGCGTGAGAACCGCAGAGAACAGCAGGCACCAGCTGTTCCGCGGCTCAAAACCTCCCTCCCAGGCGAAGGGGGGGAGGGGAGTATCACCTGAATAGAGGTAGAGCCTCTTGAACCCCCCAGGAATTTTTCCTTGGGGAGTGAAAAGAGAGCTCCCTCGGAGTTCAGGTTGCCTCCGCCTCCCAGCTGTCTTTGTTCCTTTGGGAACAAAGCAAAACGCCACTACCACCTCCGCGCTTAAAGGGACCGGGTGAGTTATTTTTAAAAAGCGGACAGAGTTGGATAAAGGATTTTTCTTATTGGATTTTATTTGGACTTTAGTTTGAAAGATTGACCTTTATTTCTTTTTCTCTTTTTTCTTCGTTTTTTCTTGTGTGGAGACTGGAAAGTTTTTTTTTCTTGAAAAAGTGAGTGAAACGGAACGTTATGGATTAGATGGGGTTTTTTTTTCTTCTCTTTAAACTTTTCCTTAAGGTGGATTTGTGTTTTGGGAAGATTTTTTTTTTTTTTTGTTAAACTCTCCTTTGTTATTTTTTTTCCCTTTCAAGGGATTTTTTATTTTTTATTTTTTTCAAAGAAGGAGGAAAGAAGAAACAAGACTTTTTCTTTTTGAAAATGGCTTCAAAGAGGCAAGCAACTTCTACAGTACCTAAGGTGGCTTCTTCTCCTGCGATCTTACCGGCACAACAACCTAAA